TCCCGGGTTCCTGGCAGTGGCGGGCTGCACAGGCTCCCCAGAAGGGGGGTGTGGATAGTGACCTGTGCTCGCACACAGGCTTCTTGGTGGCGGCACCAGCAGCCTTAGCGTCTCATGCCCGTCTCTGGGGTCCGCGCTTTTAGCCACGGCTCATACCCGTCTCTGGAGCTCCTTTAAGCAGCGCTCTTAATCCCTTCTCCTTGCGCACCAGGAAACAAAGAGGGAAGAAAAAGTCCCTTGCCTCTTCGGCAGGTCCAGACTTTTCCCTGGACTCCCTCCCGGCTAGCTGTGGTGCACCAACCCCTTCAGGTTGTGTTCACGCCGCCAACCCCAGTCCTCTCCCGAGCCTCAGCTCCCAGCCCCGCCTGCCCCAGCGGGTGAGTAGACAAGCCTCTCGGGCTGGTGAGTGCCGGTCGGCCCTGATCCTCTGTGCGGGAATCTCCTCGCTTTGCCCTCCGCACCCCTGTTGCTGCGCTCTCCTCCGCGGCTCCGAAGCTTCACGCCTCCGCCACCTGCAGTCTCCACCTGCGAAGGGGCTTCCTAGTGTGTGGGAACCTTTCCTCCTTCATGGCTCCCTCCCACTGGTGCAGGTCCCGTCCCTATCCTTTTGTCTTTTTTCTTTTCTCTTTTACCCTACCCAGGTACGTGGGGGGTTTCTTGCCTTTTGGGAGGTCTGAGGTCTTCTGCCAGCGTTCAGTAGGTGTTCTGTAGGAGTTGTTCCACGTGTAGATGTATTTCTGGTGTATCTGTGGGGAGGAAAGTGATCTCCACGTCTTACTCTTCTGCCATCTTCCCGGAAGCTCCTCTGTACATTGTTTAATCTGTATCCATAAATATTATGTTGTGTTTTCATTTTCATTTAGTTCAGAGTATTTTAAAATTTCCTATGGAAGTTCTTTGACCTTTGGATTATTTAGAAGTGTGTTGTTTAATTTCCAGATATTTATATTTTCCCAGATTTCTTCTAGCAGTATATCTCTAATGTGATTCCATTATGGTCAGAGAAATACTTTGATTTCAGACTTTAAAATTTTTTTGAAGCATACTCCCACCTTGGAACCCTCACTCCAATATATGATAGATTACTTCACTTTCTATAAGGCTTCTCTCAAATGTCACCTTCTCAATGAGACCTACTCAGACCAACAGTGAAATTGCAACCAACACTACCACCACCTTCTAGCCCTTCCAGTTATCCCTTATGCTGCTGTACTTTTTCTTTTTCATAGCACTCATAACCTTCTAGCATACCATATAATTTACTTAGTTCTTTGAAGATAGGGATCTTTGTTTTATTAATGTGTCCGAAGAACCTAGAATACTACCTGGATCATAATAGTCACCGAATAAATATTTTTGAGTATATACATTAGTATATTCATCCACTTGGTCATATGTAACCAAAATTTGTTCACTTTTGTTGTAATATAGGATTTCATTATATAAACTTACTACAGTTTTATAATTGATTCTTCTTAGGTGGATACTTATATTTTTGCTAGTTTCAGGCCTGTTATAAATAGTACTGATCTAAATATTCTTATTATTGCATTCTGGTGCACTATGCCCAGATTATTCTAGGGTATATATGTAGGAGTGGAATTGATGGGTCATATTATGAGCATATATTCAGCATTAGTAGGTAATGTCATGGTGATTTGCACTGTGGCTGCACATTCCTACCAGCAATGTATGGGGGCTCCATTTGCTCTACAGCCTCACTGACATGTGGTATTGGTATTCTTTTTTATTGTTTGCCAATATGGTATTCCCTTCTTAATTAGTATTTCCCTGAATTCTAATATTGAGCACTTTTGCATATATTTATTAGCCAGTGTATTTCCTCTTTTGTGAGGCACCTTTTTCTGTCTTTTGCCCATTTTCCTAATGATTGTGTTCTTTATCAGTTATTTGTATAGCAAATATCTTTTTCCATTCCGTGAGTTTTCTGTTTAGGATATTTTGATGAACAGAAGCTTTTAATTTTAATGTAGTTGAATTTGTCGATATATTCCTTAATGGTTAATGCTTTTTGAGTCTTAAGAAATCCTTCCATAAATATTCTTATACCTTGCTGGTGGAAATGCAGAATAGTACAATTCCTACAGAGTGGAATTTAGCAATGTATAGAAAAATTACATACACATTTGCCTTTTACCTCAGCAGTGCCACTTCTTAGAATCTATTTCAAAGATATACTGAGAAAATACAAAATCCTGTATGCAGAAGGCTGTTTGTCAGGGCATTATTCACAATAGCAGAAAAGACTGGAAACAACACCAAGGTGCATCAGTAAGGGAGTAGTTGAATAAACTATTGTACATCCACACAGTGAAGTACTATGCAGCTATAAGAAGGAAAGGGAAGAGCTCTATACATTAATATGGAATTATCACCAGGATATATTGCTAAGTGAAGTAAGTTACCTTTTATGTAGGACAGGGGGTGTAATGAATTTTATATATATATATATACACACACACATAAATATGTGTGGTGTGTTTGTGCCTATTTGCTTATATTTCAAAAAATAAACAATGGAACCATAAATCCAAAACCTAATAAAATTATTACTTATGGAGAAGGAAAGGAGTGGGATGAAGGGGACAGAGGTAGAAGTGAGACTTCTGTGAAGGTACTGTATAACACAGTTTTCACTTTAGACCCATGTAAATGTTTTGCATAGTTTAAAAATTTAATCAAAAGGGAAAAAAGATCAATCCTTAACATTTGTAAACAGCCTGAAGCAAATGAGCCTAACTGTGAATAAAGTTGGTAGCATAACCATATAGAGAAAATAATTATTTAAAATGACTTCAAAACAGTATTTGTATATTCCGAATGGGATATATTTTAGGGTCAAAAGTAACTGCAAAGAATTATAAAACTGTATTAAGTAGTTTTGTTGTTGATAGTCATATTAGTATTGTTGATAACCATATTAGTATTGTTACTGACATTTAAAAGTTCTATATATTGTAGGAAAAAGCTAATAAATAATTTTGTTAATATCATTAGGAGCCAATATCTTAAGCACATGTGAAAAGAGATACAAGTCAAAAATCAAGGAGTTTGAGTTAAAACCTTGTAATCTTAAATTTGAAGTGGAAACACCAGTATGAATTTATGATTTATTTTTCGTAAAAATTTTCCTACCTTTGTTCACTGAAAAGGCCTAGAAGCAACAACAACTCAACATTTATGAACAGAACTAGCAACGTATTGTGGTTTCTAAACATTTATTTCCCACTAACAGGAGACAGCGGTCCTTAGAGAAATATTCCAGCTTTGAGTCAGGAAATATGCAAGATGAGCTTAAGACATCTTGCTGTGCCAGAAAACTGGAAAGCAATACAGGAGCCAATTTTAAGGGACTTTCACTAGTCCTGAGTGGGATAATTTGACCACTAAAAAGAATGACTACATTTAATTGAAACACATCAAATGTATGAAAATACAGGTCTCACAATTATACTAAAAATAATCATTTTTAACACTTTTAAAGTACCAACTTGGGCTTCCCCGGTGGCACAGTGGTTGGGAGTCCACCTGCCGATGCAGGGGGCACACGTGGGTTCGTGCCCTGGTCCGGGAGGATCCCGGGTGCTGCGGAGCGGCTGGGCCTGTGAGCTGTGGCCGCTGGGCCTGCGCGTCCGGAGCCTGTGCTCTGCGGCGAGAGAGGCCACAGCAATGAGAGGCCCACATACCGCCAAAAAAAAAAAAAAAAAAGCACCAACTCATTACTTTTATAGTTGGTAAATAATGGGAAGCAAATCAAGCATTTATCCTGCTTTTGCTGTATGAACTGTATGTAGGGAAACCACATAGTTGATGACGGTAAGTCCATTATAGAATTCCAGATAATAAATACAGAAGAAATAATAGAAATAATAAGTACAAAATAAATAATAGAATTAGGGGAGCCCCATTTTACAACTCTTAATAAATTAATGGATTTAGGCAATGGTCATCAATAGATGCAAAACCCCTTAGGTGAAATGTGAATGGGAAAACTTCATAATAGAAAGATCAGACTAATACCACCTGAATCCACTGATCAATTTTAGCATCACTAGAAAGGGGACCACTAAACATTATGTGCCTTATGACATGATGTAATAGGAAATACACATCTATATAATATATGGAGGATTCTTGCCTAAAAATATTGAACCCAAATCTCAATCAGCACTATCCAATGCACCTTTCTACAATGATGTAAATGGTCTTTATTCTGCCCAGTATGGTATCCACTAGCCACATGTGCTTGTTGAGCATTTGATATTCCTAATTTAACAGAGGAACTGACATTTTAAAAATTAATTTAAATAGACTCGTGGCTAGTGGCCACATTGAAAGCATAGCTCTAGTTTTAACTGCCAGTTTGTAAGAAATAGAGGGGATTGAGGAACAAGTTAAATAATATGAGGGGCAGCCAGTCAAATTCATTTGTTCTATGAACAAATGATGTGGTTTCTCTAATAAATCAATGAGATGGGGGAAGAAACAGGTTGGAGGGGTGGGAAAGAAGGGGCACTGTTTGTTTTTTTAATGAGGCTTAAAAGATATAACAGCCAATGGCTGGTTTAGATCCTAAACCAAGTGTAAAAAGATATCTTTGAGAAAATCAGGGCCATTTGAATATGAACTCAGTAGTAGATAATGCTAAGGAATTATTATTAATTTTGTGAAGTATGATAATGCCATACTAACATTTTTCAAATGTCTTTATCAGTTAGATGCATGTACTTGCATGATCCTGAGAGTGAGCACCTCAAATTTTGTACCCCAGGTGCCTCACTTGCCTTACCATAAGCCCGGCCTTGCCCAAGATGCACTGTAATAACATAGCTATATATTATTGTCATTTTTCACAGGTTGTAAACACCTGCCCCAGCAGAGTTTCATTATCTGAGATTCAAATTTTAATTTTTATTAATTTGTCAAAGGTTGTATTGGTAGGCTTTGTAGAACTTCCCTATCTCTTTGTCTTGATCCAGATGAATCCCAAAAGAAGAACAAAGGTGATCCCATGAACAACCTGGAAAATTTTTACCAAGAGATGATAATGAAAAAACGTCTTGAAGAGTTCCAACTAATGAGAGGTGAACCCTTTGCTTCCCACTCACTGGTCTCAGCTACATCAGTGGGAGATAGTGGCACAGCTGAGAACCCGTCATTACTCCAGGACAAGGGAAAACAGGCAGCACAGGGTAAAGGTCCCAGTCTCCATGTGGCAAAAGTTATTGATAATTCACCTGAGCAGTGTTGGACGGGGCCTAAGAAGCTGACGCAGCCAATAGAATTTGTCCCAGAAGATGAGATCCAGAGAAATCGTTTGTCAGAGGAAGAGATCCGAAAAATTCCTATGTTTTCTTCATATAATCCAGGGGAGCCAAACAAGGTATAGGCCAAACCAAGAAAAAAAAATGGGTTTTTTTTTATTTACTTCTACCTAAAGTAATACTTTTATATTAGCTTTGATTATACCAAAGAATCATGACATAAGCGCAGTGATTGTGTTTTTCCTTGACCTTGACTATTCATTCTCTGCTATATAAGTAGCTCTGACTATATAAGTAACATATTTCCTTATGATGTTCTTTGTGGTTTTCTAAGGTCTTAAGCTACTCTTAGAATTTTAAAGAAATCTTGATCAGACTCTAGTCCATACCCACTAGAAACCCTCAACTGAAAAAAAGTGACCTCTAATTTCCTAGGCTACTAATCAAGTAGTATTCATAGTACCACCATATCTGGTAGCCATGGTGCCTGGTTGTGAGTAGGGTTTACTATTACCGCATGAGTTTTCTCTTCAGAATGCTCCACCTGGCTTTTATATGACATATGACTTAAGTTGCTGATAGCTAAGCAGCAAAGTGAAAGCACAGGGCCTCTAAGCCTTGAGGAATTGGCAAATATCTAAGAAAAGTTGTAAATAATCCTTGTTTTGTTGATCATATCATTATTTCACATTCATGGTATGTGTTACATACAGAATTGAAAATTTCATTATCATGTCACTCAAGCAACACAAGCCCCTGGAGTATATACTTGATTGTGTCTAATTTAAAAAACAAAACTAAAAAAATAATGTTAGCTTCTGGCTGTCCCTGAATTTTTACAAAGGCATCGTAGGTAAGGAATATTAAAGCAGTTTCCTTTGAATGATTGCATTTCTAATATATTCTTGATGTTCAAGGGTAGCTTGATTTTTATTTATTTTTTATTATGAAATATTACTCATTATAAAAAGTTACAGAGAATAATATAGCAAAAACCTTTGTACCAAGCCAGCCATCTTTATCAATTCTTGCCTTTTTTTTTCTTGGCCATGCCACGCAGCTTGTGGGATTTTAGTTCCCTGACCAGGGATTGAACCCAGGCCCTTGGCAGTGAGAGCACAGAGTCCTAACCACTGGATCGCCAGGGAATTCTCTATCAATTCTTAACAGTTTCCATATATGCCTAATTAAAAAAAAATAAGGCCTTATGGAGACGCCTGAAGACTTTCATGTATCCCTCCCCAATCCCATTCCTCTTTCTCCTTTCCAGTGGTAACCACGATCCTGTATTTGCTATTTATTGTTCCCATCCGTGTTTTTATATTTTTACTATATATCTATATATTCATAAACAGCATATAGTTTTACATATTTTTAAATATATAGATGATATCATACTCTACATACCCTTCTACAACTTGCTTTTTTGACTCAATATACATGTTTTTGAAATTTATTTCTAAAGGTATAAGGAACTATGTAGCGTTCCGTTGTAGAACGATACTATAATTCATTTATCCATTCTCCTGAAGATTTTTTCTTTTCATTTTTTTCTGTTATAGACAGTTCTGCAGCAAACATTATTGTACATATCTCCTGTTGCATATGTACAGGAGTTTCTCTAGGACAGGTTTTCAAATTTTAATTTACTATTAGTAGGTCACAACCAGCAATTTTTTTAAAGAAATGAAATAGAATAGAAAATATCAAAGTGCATTCCATAGAGTAGTAAGAATGATTATTGTTTCTTGAAGCTTTTGTTTAATATGTGTGTGTGTGATATGTATGTGGGCCAGAATATAAAATGCATTTCTTCCTATAGATCTCAGTCAAAAAGGCCAGAAAAATATTGCTCTATTGCAGTGATTCTCAAATGTTAGTGTGCAGCGGAATCACCTGGAAGACTTGTTAAAACACAGATTGCTGGGTTCCGCCCTCAGAATTTTTTGTTCTATACATCTGGAGCAGGGCCTGAGAATTTGCATTTCCAGTTTCCCAGGAGATACTGATGATGTTGCTGGTCTGAGAGTGACATTTTAAGAATCACTGTTCTATATTACATATCTAGGAGTGGAATTCCTGTGATATAGGGTATGTGTATCTTCACCTCCATGAGCAGGGTTTAAGAAATCTCTTTTACATCTTTGCTAAGACTTTAAAGTTTTTGACTTTTTATTTTTGCCAGTCTAATGTGTTTGAAAGGTATCTCATGGTTTTAATTTGCATGTTCCTGATTTCCAATGAAGTTATGCATGTATTTATACATTCATTAGTCTTTCAGGAACCTTCTATGAATTGCCTGTTCTGTTTCTTTGCCCATTATTTGATTATTTAGTTTTTAATGTTATTTATAGATTTTGATTATTTAGTTTTCGATATTATTTATAGATTTTATTTTAAAATTCTGGATACAAACCCTTGCTGCACCTGGTGAGTAGCTTATATTTTTAACATTGTTTCTGATTTCTTTTGTTAAGCAGAAGTCTTTCATTGTAACGTAATTAAATCATCAGTATTTTATTTGATGGTTTGTGCTTTTTGAGACATTTTAAGGAAATCTTTCCCTACAAATCAATAAGAAAAAGAGAAACAACCCAATAAAAATGGCCAGAAGATATGAACAGGCAATTCACAGGGGAGAAAACATGAATGGACAATTAACTTATAAAGTCTCATTAGTAATCAAAGAAATGCAAAATAAACTACAGTGAGATACCATTTAACACCCAGGATGTTGGCATACATTTAAAGGCCTGACTGTGCCAAGTATTGGTGAACGTATGGAACAGTAAGAACTCTTAATATACCGCTGGGTGAATATAAATGAGTACAGCCACTTTCAAGAACATTGTGGCAATATCTAGTAAAATGAAAGATGCTCATACACTGTAAGTCAGTAATCCCACTTCTTGGTATCTATCCTAGGGGAACTCTTACACACGCACATTAGATGTTATGAGGATGCTCATAGTAGCATTGTTTATGAACAACATACATGTTCATAAGCAGGAGAATGGATAAAGCATGGTATATTCATAAAATAGAATACTATACAGAAGAAAAAATGAATGAAATAGAACTACAGGTATCAACATGGATGAAACTCAAACAATATTGAATGAAAAAAGTTTGTTGCAGACTTTGGGTTTCAGTGCCAACATGTAAAGTGCTTAGAAGTCATCACTGCTCTCTTAGAACAGGAAGAACAGCTGAACAAACTAAAAATCAATGACTTTTCTTGGACCCATCAGGGATTTGACATCAGAGAGCAAACTGCAACCCTGAAATCTGGAGAGACAGGCAATTACAAAGAGTGACAGCCCAGATCTGCTTATCAGGAGCAGAAAGCACTAGAGCCATAAACTGGTAGGAACACTTAAGTGGTAACTTTGACAAATTGCAGGAAGCAGAGTGTAGATTAGTGTTTGAGTAACAAACACCTGGGGGCCACAGTCTATGGGGTTCCCCACATTTTCATGACTTTTACCTTCAGGAACTCCACTGGGTTCTCAGTGTGAAGAGCCAAGAAAAATCTCCTGCTCCTGGCATGGTGACAGGAAAAGTAATCAACTTGAAATACATCCAGATCTTCTACTTAACAAAGAGCTATCCAGCAAGTAAAACAACTTTACCAAAGCCTTCTCTAGTGTGGGAGAAGGGAAATTATCCAACTCGAGGCTCCTCTAGCCTTACTGTCTCATCTAAGAGAAAGAGAATAAAAGCTGTGAAATACTTGTGAAGGTTACAGGCTGGGTACATGGGCACAATAAAAGACTGAAACTTAATTATAGGATTGCAGAATGTTTTCCCATACCCCACACCTTACTACCACATCAGCAGGGCTTCAGTACGTTAACTGTGGATTACAGTCGAAAGACCTGCAAGACTCAGACTCTTAAGACGTTTTTAGGGAAACCCAAAGAAAACAAGGGAGACAAAAACAAGGACATTAGAGGAAATTGAAAAACCTCTGACACCTACAGCTAGAGTAAACATTAAACACAGCCCAGCTTCTAGCCAGATTAACATAAAACCTCACATTAATGACTTGTTTATCTCAGTTTCTATTATGTTATGCATTGTGTCTGGTTTTCAGCAAAAAAGAAATGATAAGGCATGCTAAAAGCAAAACCACAGTCTCAAGAGACAAAACAAGCATCAGAACCAAACTGAGATACAACATAGGTTTTTGAATGATCATATATATGGAATTTAAAATAACTATAATTAATATGATAAAGAGTCTGTTAGAAATAGTATACAACATGTAAGAACAAATGGATAATGTAAGCAGAGAGATAGAAACTCTAGAAAGATGCAAGAAATCAAAAACACTATAACAGAAATGATGCCTTTGGGAGTTCCCTGGTGGCCTAGTGGTTGGGATTCTGGGCTTTCATTGCCATGGCCCAGGTTCAATCCCTGGTCAGTGAACTGAGATTCCTGCAAGCCATGCGGCATGGCCAAAAAAAAGAAAAAGAAATAATGCCTTTGATAGGCTCGTGAGCAGACTGCATACAGCCAAGGAAAGAATTAGTAAGCTTGAAGTTACGTCAATAGAATCCTCCCAAACTGAAATGGCTGAGAATTTCCCAAAATTAATGACAGACACCAGACCACAGATTCAGAATCCAAGCAAAGAACACAAAGTAGGATAAATACCAAACAAATACACCTAAGCATATCATGTCCAAACACAGAAAACTGTGAAGACCAAGAAAAAATCTTGAAAATGGCCAGAGAAAAACTCTCTACCTATAGAAGAACAAAGATAATAATTATACTGGATTTCTCATCAGAAACTATGCAAGCAAGAAGAGAGTAGAGTAAAATATTTAAAGTGATGAAAGAAACACCCACCTAGAATTCTGTATCCAGGAAGAACAATCATTTAAAATTGGAAGAAAAATAGTTTATCAAACAAACAAAAACAGGGAATGTACAACAAACTAAATTAATATTGGATTATAACCCAAAGTATAGAATATCTATGAGTCAATACTGATAATAAAATGACTGAATGAATCAATAAATGGGGGAGAGGAGACAAATATCCCATGAAGAAGAATTCTAAATAGTTTATGTAGATGCTCCACCTCAAGGAAGGGAAGCATAACTC